TACTCAAGTGAAAGCTCTTGATGAGTGTAACATCGGAATGAGCTTATATTTTTAAAAATGTCAATAATTAAGAAATGATCTTGTATTTTGTGAAATATTGACATTTTTAAAGATATAAGCTTATACCGATGTTACACTCATCGAGACCTTTCATTTGAGTACCCACATCAATTTTTCATATATTTATATATATTATATATATGTATATATGAAAAATATATCAAAATGCATGTGGGTACTCAAATGAAAGCTCTTGATGAGTGTAACATCGGGATGAGCTTATATCTTTAAAAACGTACAGTGCAATTTAACAAAAGTCATTATTTAGTATAGCAAAATTTTATTTATTTATAGTTCACAAGTCACGGCAATCACATAGTAACTGCAAGGTTGCTAGTAATCATTAATTAATAAATGTGATTAATTCTTATTTCTTCTCAAAGTATAGCGTTCTCGTATCTTTAGTTCCACACTTTCCGCTGTTGTGTACCCACCCAATGCATCTACCTGAGCAGCATTCGTTGTCCGCCTCACACTAATTATTCGAACAGCAAAAAATAAATAAGTTAATTAATTAGCTTCCAATATTAAGAGAATTATTAAATTCCATATTTTATTACTTGTACGTGTGTTGCTTTGCAATTTGGAAATTCGTATTGACCTACGGCTAATCCTATTGAAATTAAAAACATCACGGTGATAATTGCAAATTTTAGCTTCATTATTTTTTTTTTGTCGGCTGAATCTAAAAATTTTTGTTAATTTAAAAAATATCATATATATTTTAAAATAAATATATTGAATCAGTACTTACCAAATTACAAAGTATATTTCTTCAGAGTGATGATAGTTGGTTTATGTAGCACCAATTGTGCGTTCAGTATTTATACGACTTTAATCAAAAATTATACTTCTTACTTTTACTGTTTTGTCGAATGACAAAAAGAAGAAACCCAGATAATATTTTTATATTTTATTTTTATAAAAATAGTTTTCTTCACAGTTCAATTTTATTTATTTACTTTTTTTTTTATATGAATTACAAGCTATATTTTTAATTTTTAATTAAAGTTTTTATAGTGAAAGAAAATTTTTTTTTATTATTATAATTATTTTCAAACCAAGTTCAGAATTAAAATATTTTTAAGAAAGAATTTATTTTTTTTAGTATTTTTTTTTTTTTTTTTTTTTTTTTTTTTAGATTTTCAAGCAATTCAATTACTCATCTGCGGATGAAAGAATTTTCGTTCTAGTTTTAGAAACTTTTTGAAGATCTATTTAGTAAAAGAAATGTTTCAGTTGAATTTAGAAATTCAATTTATTTTATAATGTATTAAGCAAAGTGGCTGGAGATCAGCTAGTTAATTATGAATTGTAATTAAATAATAAATTTATTAAAAAAAAAATGAAGTTATGGATAGATTTTTTTTTTTAAATTATCGTGTTTCCGGAGTTTAACACTAATTGATGATAATGATTTTTTTTTTCAGTTTTATTACATTAAATAAAATTTAAATATTACAAGACTTAGCTTCATTAAATTATTTGTATGCAAATCTCTATAGCTTGGTGAACTAATAAAAGTATAACAATAAAAATAGCTATAAAGAAAAAACGAAAGCAATTTTATGACATAGAAGAACTTGCTAATGTTTCAAATAATTTGGACAGTTTTTATAATTCTTTATACATTCTTGTACCACGTTTTTTTTAAGATAAATTTTTCAACTGGTTTAAGAATGAAATTTTTTGTTTTTAAAAAAAAGTCGTGATTTATTTGACATGAAGTCTCGAAACTTTATTAATTTCAAATTTCTCCTTGTTAGTCTGACAAATTTTCAATTTGTAATAACAATATGTCGGAGTAAAAATCAAAAAAAATTTTCGTATAAATTACTCGAACTATTTCTCCGCCATCCAGGAACCGCTGTTACTATTTTTTTCTTTCCGTACAGTTTCAATCGGCGAGTAGATTTATTGAAAGAATCTCCATGCTAAACTCAATTTAAACTTTTTTATGACTAATATAAATTTTATTCAATTACAGTAATTTTGTTTTTAGTTTTTTTAGTTTTAGTTTTTTTTTTTTTTTTTTTTTTTTTTTAACTAAAATAACAATAAAAGACAACAAAACTTAATTGAAAAAAAAAAAATTATTCTATAAAAAAAGTTAATTGATTATTGATTAAAGACTATTTCATCAATGATGCAATAAACAGTGTCATTAAGTGTAACTAAAATAAATTTTTTAAAGTAATTAATTAAAAAAAAAAATGGCAATTGATACGCTGTCGGTAATGAGAAAATTCCAGTTATTTACCGATGGTTAAATTTGAACTTACTGTTAGTTGTTAAAATCACAAATTATAAACTGAGAAAAAAAAATGCATTTGAAAAAAATGAATATTTTTGAAGAATAAATTAATTTCTTAAAAATTTTCAATAATTTTATTTCTTAGCTAAAGAAACCAAAATTTTTCTTATAGGAATTTTTTTGTTGAAAAAAAGACTGAGATTTGGGAAAAAAAAAATTTAATTGAATCAAGAGAAAAGTTCTTGAACCAAAAAAATAATTTCATAAAGTTTCATACATTGTTTATATATAAGGTTTAATACGTCCGAATTTTACAAAATTTAGTGCCAAATTTTTCCAACAGGTGGCGCATGGTCGCTAAATTTTTTCCTAATAAGAGACTTAACTTTTAAGTGTTAAGGTCCTGAAATAAAAATTGTGTTGAAAAAATTTTTGAAGGAGTTTATTTGAAATAATTATTTTTAATTAATTTTTTACTGAACTTACACTTATTTATGACTTTTTCATAAATCTCATAAAATTCGAATTTCAGAATATTCAACAGCGTTGAATTAAAATGGAACTAAAAACTTTCTATAAATTAACCCAATGGAAATTAAATAAAGAAACTTCCACTATTGATTAATAGTCACGACGCGATGATATTTACATTTAATTAACGGTCACGCCTTTCAGGTACTAAACATTCTGATAATTAAATTACGCGTATAACCAAATCTATTTTTAACCGAACAATCATCAATTAGCACTTGAGCTTTTAATCGTTAGTTTAAAATTGTAAGTCGCAATTTCTAAGAATTATAGATTTATGAATAATAGAACTCTATAAAATGAATAAATTAATAAATTCATAAATAATTAAATAATAATAATAATAATAGTAATTAAAAAAATAAGTCAATAAATAAAAATCTAATTTACTTGTTCAAGTTTTAATTTAAAATTATGGGTCAAATATTGAAGCTACGAAAAAATGATATTAAAACTTTTTTATAGAATATTTAATTTTCTATAAAAAAGTTCCTCATCAATTTTGCTCTATCTCTAATTCATTTTCCAAAATTTGCTTAAATATTAAAAATACAAAAAAAAATATAGGACAATTTTTTCATAGAAATTAAATTTTCTTCAAAAAAGGTTTTTACAATTTTGCACTATCTCTTATCCTTTATCCAAAATTTGAATTTAAAATTCAAAAATTGAAGTCATAAAACTTATCCGTAATTTTCAAAAGTTTAAAGTGCTGTGGCTTAAATATTGAAGATGCAAAAAAAAATATAAAAAATTTTTTTTATAAAAAATTAAATTTTCTACAAGAAAATTTATTAAGAGTATCTTTAACCGTTGAATAAAAATTTTAAAAATAAAAGCTCAAATTTTTACCGTTTCATATGACTATTAATTTAAAAAATTTTTTAAATTATTATTCATTAATAATAATAGTAAATGGTAGGTGAAAGGCGTCAGAGTGTAGTGACCCAGGGAGTGCATCAATCCGCGGATACTAGATATATAATAAAAGTGAGTAGGTAGGGAGCCTACTAACCGGTTTCGCGACCCCCGGTGAACATTGAGACGTATGTAACCTTCATTCAGCAGCCTCACATGTCCCTCACTTTAGCAATAAATAAAGACATCTTAGCTATGGTCATAAATATTTTTATTAACAATTCTATATCAATCACAGTGATATCAAACCATAAATTCATACTACACAACTATTTATATTTATATTTGTATATAATTATATTTTTGATAAGCTTGCTATAAAATACTACAATATGTAAGCACACTTGCTTGTACAAAGTATTCAAATAATAATTATTCAAAATCACTCGGTAAGTTCCATCAAAAATATTAAATATGCAAACAAGGTCACACGGTGATTTAAAATATATAAAATAATTGCAACAATTTGTATATATATGTAAATATATATTTTTTTTTTTTTATTATTAATCGCTAAATAATGATTATTTTCTCCTCTTTATGATTAACCCCCCGTGATGGCTAATGATTACAGTAGGTGCCCAAATTCCCGAAGATTTATGTTCCAAAGTTAGAAACTTCCACACTCACGAAGCACTCGATTGCCCAGCGGAAGTGGAGGACGGAAGTTATTGATTACCTGTAATTATAGAAAGATGCAAATTAGAGATTTGTTGGGATAAATTAAATAGAGTCGGGTATAAGTTCTTATGTAAGAATTCGTGCAAATAAATATTGCAGGAATGAATTATCTTGATTGGGATAAAAATTATTTTTAAGACAACTGGTTGTTAAATTTTTCAATTCTGAATTTTTTAATAATTGAAGTTGTTGTTATTGTTGTTATTTCAAAAGAAGATTTTTTTTAAATATCAAATCGGCCTCTAGTGATTGTAAAAAATGACTATAACTCCTAAAATATCTATTTTTGGGAAAAATTGTATGAAATCAAAATTGTAACTTAAAAAATTTCTTACAAAAAATGTTTTTGTACTATAGGGCTATCTATTGATATTTTAGGAGATATAGCAATTTAATTAGTGCCGAAATAGTAAAAAATAAAATTTTATTATCTAGTTACTTTAAAAATGGCTATAACTCCTAAAATATCAATTTTAGAGAAAAATTGAAAGAACTTAAAATGGTAGCTCAGGAAATTTCCTACAGGAAGTATCTCTATACTATGAAGCTATCTTCAATATTTTAAGAGATATAGTAATTTAATTAGTGCTAATACAGAAAAAAAATGAACAAATTATTATTTAGACACTTTAAAAATGACTATCATTTTGGAAAAATCAACTTTAGGAAAAAATTATAAGAATCAAAAATTGTAGCTTAGGAAATTTTATAAAAAAAATGTCTTTACTTTTCATAGCTATCTTCGATATTTTAGGAAATGGAGCAACTTAACTAGTACGGAAATAGTAAAGAATAAAACGTCTATTATCTACGCACTCTAAAAATGGCTATAAATTCTAAAAATTAATTTTAGAAAAAATTATAAAAACCAAAAATTGTAGCTTAGAAAATTTCCTACAGAAAATGTTTTTGTACTATGTAGCTATCTTCAATATTTGAAGAGATGGAGCAACTTAACTAGTACGGAAATAGTTAAAAATAAAAAGTTCATTATCTACGCACTCTAAAAATGGCTATAAATTCTAAAAATCAATTTTCGGAAAAAATTATAAGAATCCAAAATTGCAGTTCAGAAAATTTCCTACAAACAGTATTTTGATACTATAAAGCTACCTTCAATATTTTAGAAGATATAGTAACTTAAGCAGCACTGACACAGTAATAGTATTTTTCTTACCTGGGGCAGGAAAATAAGAAATGTCTCAGATTACATGTAATTGTTGACCGAGGCGAAGCCGAGGCTTTCTTATTTCCTGCCCGTGGTGAGAATACTATTTTTCTCCTCGACGGAGGCGGAAAGCGGCATTTTCGTTTAGCGCAGCAAGCAGAAAATTGACGCTTTCCGCACGGAGGGGAGAAAAAAATTTTGCGTCAAAAAACTTAGTGTTAAAAATTTTTGTGTTAAATATTTAGTACTTTTGAGTGTAAATTTAACATTTATTCTGTTAAATCAATACAAAAAAGTGTTAAATATTTAACATAAAAATTTTTAATACAAAATTTTTTGACCCAACGACGCAAAATTTTTACTGTGCATAGTAAAAAATAAAAAATCATTAATTAGACACTATAAAAATGGTTACAACTCCTTAAATATCAGTTTTAGGGAGAATTATAAGAATCCAAAATTGTAGTTCAGAAAATTTCCTACGGAAATTATTCTAATACTACACAGAAAAAAAAAATTAACTTAAATCAAGAGAAAAATTCTTGAACCAAGAAAATAATTTTGAAAAGTTTCATTGTCTTGAATTAAGATGAAAAATTCTTGAATCAAGTAAAATTTAATTGAACCAAGAAAAATTTCTTAGTTTAAGAATTTTTTTACTTAAATTAAGAAGATAAAGTTCTTCAAAATTATTTACTTGATTGAAGCAAATTTTTTTTCCTGAGTATGGAGGTATCTTCAATATTTTAAGAGATATAGTAACTTAATTAATGCTGATATAGTTAAAAAAGAAAAATCATTATCTAGTTATTGTAAAAAATGGCTATAATATCAATTTTAGGAATAAATTATTAGAATGCTAAATTGTAGTTTAATTTCTTACAAAAAATTCTTTTAATACTATACAGCTGTTTCCAATAATTTATGGAATTTTATTCACTAATTATAATTTCATAGCCGAGAATTTAAAATAAATCAATTATGTTATTATCGTATTTATCATTATAAAAAGCCACTTACCACTCCGTGGTTTTCATGACAAGGACACTCTTCGCCCCGTGGAAATTTCCTTAGATTACGGAAGATGTTTAATTGATGATGGGAGACCTCGATATATTTCTTGAACAACACCCAGGTGACACTCTCGTTGCACGGAGGGGTTGTCAGTGACCCCAAGTAAGTCCAATAACCGTTGTCATCTGCTAAACGATGTTTTAACTCGTTAATTATTATCATTATCATCATCATTAACATTAACATTATTAATTGCTACAGGATAAAAATCATATTTATCATTGTAATTGTTAGTAAGAAGCTACCACCACCAACCTTGAAAGCCACACTTATTATCTTGCCGCATGATTTTGTCCGCCCACCTCATGCACGGATTCACACACCTACCCGCACGTCCACCGCGAACTATTGTTAACATTAGATTAGTATTTAAAAAAAAAATGACTGATTTTCTTTAATTAGAACCTTCAAAAATCAAGTTTAAATTTACTTAATGTCAAAATTCTAAATTTTTTTTTGCCTTAAGCGTGAGCGCAATTATTGTCTAAAAATCAAAATTTTATCACATTAAATTGTACCTAACATATTTTACATATTAATAATAATTCAAAAAGAACAATTTTAGGATAAATAATCATCGCTTAACTTGTCAAAAATTATTTTTAAATTAATTAATTGCTATTTTTACCTAGAAAAGTGGTTTAAACCACTTAAAGTGTAAATTTTTCAAATTTTTGCGGAGGGACAAACACGTTAACTTTTGAAAAAATGAATTTTTTAACTCAATTATTTTTTTGATCTCTTCATCTGCCTATTGGAAAGTTAAGGATTAAAAATTGCAGCTTAATATTGTTTTTTTTTGTCCTTTAAGCAGCCATATAGAAAAATTTATTTGTAAATAGAGCTTTAAGACAGCTGATACAATACTCAATTGTGTACTTTGGCTGATCAAAGGTAATACAGTCTTTAATTGGTTCTTTTTTATGATTCATTACGGAGCGAAAGAAATCGTTAAATTCGTATGAAAATAAATACTATCCGCGGGAAAAATTTAAACAAGCTTTAAAATTTAATTGTAAATAAAATTCTTTGTAATTTATTTATCAAAATTATTTTTTAACTTATGTTTCCAGTTAACAGTAGATAATTGCTAATTTTTACTGGGAAAAATGGTTTAAATGACATAGTGTAGATTTTTAAAATTTTTTATAAAGGGACAAACACAATAACTTTTGAAAAAATAAATTTTTCAACTCAATTTTTTTTTCAATCTCTTTATCTGTCTAACGGGAAGTTAAGGATTAAAAATTGTAGCTTAATATTGTGTTGTTTAATTATAATTAATTTTTGTTTGGATTGCAATTCAAAACCTACTTGTAAATAAAATTTCATCTACTTTAATTATAATTATTAAAATTATTTATTAACTTATCTTCACAGTTTAAAGAAGAAAATGGCTATTTTTACTGAGAAAAGTGGTTCAAATGACTTAAAATGTAGATTTTTCAAATTTTTATAGAGGGACAAACACGTTAAATTTTGAAAAAATAAATTCAATTCAATTTACTTTTTAAGGTAGTTTGATCTCCGCATTTCGAAGTCAAATTAATAGATATTTTTTTTTCTTTTTTGCAAGAGATCACTCGAAAAATAGTATAAAATATAAAATTATTTCTAATCAAAATTTAATTTATTAAATTCAATTCATAATTATGGTCAAATAATTATAATAATATAACTATTAAAATATCAACTGACAAGTACTGGGCTGTCACAAAACAATAACAACTGTTATAGGTTATGTAAGGTCGGTACTTAAAACAGTTGCTCATGGTGTTCATTTATTGTTTAAATTTGCAAATATCACTTCAATATATTAAATCTGCTATAATTTACGTGAACTTTTCATGTATGTTGAATAACAATTTATTTTAATGCAAAAAAACTTTATGATTATATTTCAATTTCAAATTTGCCGCCCACCGAGAAATCGCCATTTTTTCCCTAATAAAGATGAGGGAGTAATGTCTCCGACAAACAACAAAGATAGAAACCAATTTTTGATATTAAAAAATTAATTAAATTAAAACTATGTGGTAAATTGTTATCAAATTTTGATAAAATATGTATGAAACATTGTTCTATCTATTGGAAAGTTTTTTTTATTGGGTCAAGTTGGCCAATTTTTTATAAATCCTCCATTTCCGGAGTTATTGAACAAGGACACTCATAAGAGATCGTGTATTTTTGCAAAACTTTAATTAATTATATCTCTTAAACGGTGTGGTAAAAATATCTGATTTTTTTTCTATCGATGTATTAAATCATAATCTTTCGAATGAATATAAAAAAATATGGGGTCAAGTTGAAGTCATTTGGAGCCCAAACTATATACCTTAATCTCTTTATCTGTTTTATGGGAAGTTACGGATTGAAAATTGCAGCTTAATATTGTTTTGTTTAATTATAATTAATTTTTGTTTCGATTATAATAGAAATTTCTTGTAATTTATTTATAATTACCTCATTAAAATTATATTTATTTATTCTTGTAATGAACAGAATATTATTTCTATCGACTTTTGATACAAAATTATTAAAAATCGAAAATAGTATTAGTTATTAGTGACTTGTATAATTTAAACTTTTGATTAATTTACGTATGACAGCGCTTAAGGAGGTCCTTTCGCCGCCAATGTAAAATAAAAAATATTAGATTATGAGTAAATTAAATTTTTTTCTAATAGTTGAAGTCCTTATTTATCTAATAGTGAGATTTAAATTATACTTTACCGGACAAATTTTTGAAAAAATAAAATTTTTAAATGTTAGTATTTGTTCAGAGTCTTACGAGAAAGTCAGACGTTTGCAGTATTTCTCGAATTATACTATCAGTCATGGATTAGATGAAGTAAAAAAAAACTAAAAATTAGATTTTCGAAATATTCAGGTTTCTTTTTTTGCAATAAAATATATCAGTTACCGAGATATTTATTGAGAAATTAATATTTAAAAATCACAAAAAATTCTCAAGTAACCTACGTTAAAATGGAGTCAAAACATTTGGCAACGTTGCGTAGCGCGCGAGCTTCAGACCATTCAATAAGTTCAAATTAATTTATTTATTTACACTGACTGCAAAAACTTAAACGTGTTTAAGGTTATATTGTGCAAATAGAAATGTAAACAACCAAAGTACAGCGTTGCCAAATCACGGACAGGTTACTAGCAGCTGATTTGAAAGAGTCAAATTAATTTTTGTATTTAACTATTTTTTTTTATTTTTAAAATTTCAACGATTAATGCCTCATATACTATTTATTATTTAATTTTAGGAATTTTTATGGGTTTTTTATTTTAATTTATCGTATATTGACTACTACAATTGTTTTGACTCAACTGAAGCGAAAGGATTTCCTTAAGGCATGCAAATTTTGATTTATCAAGCGTTTTAATAATTTTATCATAAATTTAAACTTGTTTTCGGTTTAGCAAATTCTTAAAAATATAGCGACTTTGTTAATTGATATAAAAGAAGCAATAATTTAATGCAAATTACCAGGAAGAAGTTTACTGGGATCAATGGGCTCGATAACATCAATAATTTCATCTTTGTGCGAGACATACGGTAGCATGCGAGCGATTTTGTCCATTTCTTCGTGAGTTTTTCCCACCTAAAAGCAACAACAAATGTTTTTTAAATAAAACTTCTTTATTTTGTTTAAAATTTACGCGTTGCGCAATAAGTTAAGCGGTTGAGTATGTTACTTTGTTTAATTTATTTATGTTTGTGTATATTTGCATAAATTTGCATCATATCGATACTTAACTATAAATTACCTAATAGTGTAATCATTTTTATTTTTGTTATTCAATTCAGTGTTTCCTTATGTATTATCTAATTTACTTTATTTTACGTCATGCAAGTTCTTAAAAACAATTTTAATAAATTTGTGTGAGAGTTCAATTTGTTAGAAAAAATTCAAATAAATCTTTTAATAATTATGCAATACTTTTTTTTGTTTTAAAATATTGCACTGTATTCAAATAATTAATTGGCGTAAAATTTTAATGAAAAATGAGACAACTATTACTATTCAAGTTTTCAAACTTATTATAATTTTAATTGTTGTAATTATTCAAATTATATGCTATAAAATAAATATAAGTATGTTAATTTTATGATTTATTACCGTGAAAAATTAAAAAAGAAAAAAATTAATTTGATTCATAAGAAAAATTCTTGAACGAAATAAAAATTTTTTTTTTTAGTTGAAGAATTTTTTAAAGAACTTTAAAATGTTTTTTTTTTTGGTTGAACAATTTTTCTTTTTAATTTTCATTTTTTTAAGTGCTTGAAAAATCAGGTAACTGTAAAATGAAACATTTACCTCAATTTTTGACTAAAAAAAAAAAAAAATGTTTGGGCCCATAACCTGTTTTTTGAAAAAATCTTTTTTTTTTTTTAATAATTTATTTTCTGCATAAATATAGCTTCTTAAAGTATTTTTTTTAAGTTCAATGTTAAGTTTGTAAAAAAGAAAATTTTGTCTAGACCCATAACCTGTTTATGCAATTTTATTAATTATTTTTCCTTCAATAATTGACTTTCTAAATTTTTTTCAGTATAAAAACATTAAAACTTGATGCTAAATTATTAAGAAAAATTTTTTTGTCTGGGCCCATAACCTGGTTATGCCAGCTAAATAATTTTTCTTTCAATAATTAATTTTCTAATTTTTTTTTTCCGTCTAAAAATATTAAAATTTGATATTAAATTCTTAAAAAATAATATTTGTCTGGGTCCATAACCTGTTTTATGCAATTTTAATTATTTTTCCTTCAATAATTGACTTTTTAAATTAATTTTTTTTCTGCATAAAAATATCAAAATTTGATGTTAATATCTTAGAAAAAATTTTTTTGTCTGGACCCATAACCTGTTTATGCCAGCTAAATAATTTTTTTTCCAATAATTAATTTTTTTATTTTTCTTTAGTATATAAATATTAAAATTTGATATTAAATTATTAAAAAAAATATTTGTCAGGGTCCATAACCTGTTTATACAATCTTAGCTATTGTTCCTTCAATAATTGACTTTCTAAATTTTTTTCTGCATAAAAATATCAAAATTTGATGTTTTCTTTAAAAAAAAATTTTTGTCTGGGCCCATAACCTGATTATGCAATTTTAATTATTTTTCCTTCCACAATTTAATTTCTAAAATTATTTTTTGCAAAAAAATTAACAAAAAAATTTTATTCTAACCTTGAGAAAAACACCAAGCACAGCCAAACCATCAGGTGCTTTAGCAGCATCATCAAAAGTTCTATACTTGGTAGTGTTCCAATGAACCAAATGCAACTGAAAAAAAAAAAATAAAAAACATAGTAACTTAATTACCTACAATTGCGATACGTGCGCAGTTGTTGTCGATCGGTAATTGAACATAATATGATAATTATCTTTCCACTTCCACATAGCGCAGCAGTCTCATTAAATGCAACTTGTACTATTAATAATTTGAACAAAAACAAAAGAGTGTTTAAAAAATGAAGTAACTCTTTCTCTGAGGTAAATATTTAAGTGTGAATTGTAAAAGTTAAATAAACAAACGTGACTAGCTGAATAAAATATGACCGCGATTTAAAACCGGGTCGACATGTTATATGTCATGAGTTTCAATAAATTACCCACTGAAGAAATGTAGACTTGTGTTTTTTTATCTATTTTTTTTTTTTTGAGATTTGTAATGAGAAGTTTCTGAAGTAATTGAGCTCGAAGTAAAGAGACTCGTCGATTATTTAAATTAGAGAAAATTTATTTACCTCGCCAGCAAATGCTTGCCCGTCGACGGTGTGCTCGGACCCGCGAGAGTCACTGCAACCCCAGTGGCAATGATATTGCTCCAGTTTGTAGACGTCGTCCATCAAAGGTCCTCCCGTTAAAACTTAAAAATTTCAAAAGTTTTTTTATATATTTATTATATCTGAAAAATATGAAAAATAATGAATGAAAATTTTTATTTTAATTTTAATATTTTTGATTGACTGCTTAAAAATTTAAAATAAAAGATTTTATCTCAAAAAAGACTTCCCCAATTATGAAAAATTTAAAGTCTGAGTCACCAGTCGTGGGTTCAGTGGAAACATGAAAGCTAAATTGTAAAATTGCTGAATAAAATATTAATTTGAACTCACAAGTTCCATCTCCGTCGCAATCAACTCTCCAACAATAACCAGGATTAACGAGTTTTTTCGAAGCGGTTGACGGATATTTCCAGCGAAGCGGCTTGCTGCTCAGTGCCTCGTGATCGGATTCTGCACGGTCCGTCTCGATGTTCACCGGACTCTGCCTTGAACCCGCGGCCATCGGGAATTTTTCCACCCATGTGCTGGGACCTTCAACAGAAGTTATTCAAGTTCATGTTCGTGGTAACAATATATTATCACATAAAAGTAGGGTATTATTGCAGAAAAAAATATTTTTAAATAAAAAGTGGGTTTAATGGCTTATAAAGTAGATTTTTCAAATTTTTTTCGGAGGGACAAACACGATAACTTTTGAAAAAATTAATTTTTTAACTCAATTTATTTTTTAATCTCTTCATCTGCCTAAAAAGAAGTGAAGGATTAAAAATTGAAGCTTAACATTGTTTTGATTAGTTATAATTAATTTTTGTTCGGCTTTTGAGCATCAGCCATATAGAAAAATTTATTTGTAAATAAAATTCAAGTCCCATAATAAAATTGAGATGAAATGTATGTGAAACCAATCTATTCGTGATGTGATTGGTCAAATATATCATATGCATGAAAATATATGAAAACGCTATAGTCAAGGCGCGCGCTTGCGCGCGCAAATTTGAATTCTAGTCGGAGTGAAAAAAGGCATTCAATTCGAATAAAAATAAATTCTATCCGCTGAAAAATTTAAACAAGCTTTAAAATAGAAACTTAAATAAAATTTCTAGTAATTTATTTATAATTAACTTTTTAAAATTTTTTTTTGTAAAACCTTGTTAACATTTTTAACATTTTCAACACCATATATAATCTAACCATTCATCACTTTTATCAATTTTATACACAAAACTCTCTCGACTCTACGACAAAAATGTATATTTTATAAATTACTTTAAATAAATAAATAATTTATTTTGGTAGTGTTAAGTAGATAAGTCAATATTTCATTTCTGAAAATTATTGAAATGAGTTTGAAAGTTGAAGAAATTTTTCATTTATTTATACAATTGCTATGCTGAAAATTAATTGCTAAAATAACAGTTTGAAGTCATCAAACTTAATCTTTTCTATAAATAGATTCAAATAAATAACGAGCTCTTCGGCAAATAAAATTATTTCAAGCGTATTACGGTTGGAATGTTTGTAGTAAAAATTTTATGCTATTAATTTATTTTCAGCCGGTTTATTCACGTTTATCATAATAAATAACAAACGATCATAACAATAACAATCATTTTAGTAGTTAACAGTTATAAAGGAAGCTAAAAATTTCTTTCTTTATTTTCAAAATTTTTATTCGACGGTAAAAGATACGTTAAAATTGAAAAGAACCTTTCTTGTAGAGAATTCAATTTTCTATAAAAAAAAAAAAAAGACATATTTTTTTCATTTCTTCAATATTTAAGCCACAAACAGCACTTTAAACTTTTGAAAATTACGGATAAGTTCTATAACTTCATTTTTTGACTTAAAATTCAAATTTTGGAGAAAGGATGAGAAATAGAACAAAATAAATCTCGGAAAAAATTTTAAAGTTATGAAAAATTAATGTTGTTTCATTAAAATTATTATAAAATAAAAATTATAATGATACAGGGAAAAAAGAAAACTCGAAAAATTACAGTTTGAAATAACATTTTTCTAAATTCAATTTTTTAATTTAATATTCAGAGTTTTTAATGTGAATATTACATTCTACAATGTAATTCTTATAAGATCTGTAATTACAGTTTGAAATAACATTTTTCTAAATTCAATTTTTTAATTTAATATTCAGAGTTTTTAATGTGAATATTACATTCTACAATGTAATTCTTATAAGATCTGTAATAATTACAATCTTAAACTGTAATTTTTCCAGTTTTCATCACGAAGCGCCGCGTTGCATTGTATACTGTAATTTTTCGAGTTTTCTTTTTTCCGTGTAATAATAATAATAATAATAATGATAGTATTTTTTTTGTAACAAAAAATAGAGTGATTATTCTGGGGGTGCTTGTTTTTCAGGAAATTTATAGGTGTGACGGCAATAAAATAATATCAAATATAGGTATATGAAAAAATTTTAAAGTTATGAAAAATGCATAATATTTCATCAAAATTATTATGAAATAAAAATTATAGATTTATTAAATTATTATTATGATTATTTTTATTTTATAATTATTTTAATGAAAAAATATGAACTTTTCATAACTTAAAAATTATTTCCGATTACCGAGCAAAATTGATGAGAAACTTTTTTACAGAAAATGAAATTTTTTATTAAAAAGGTCTCATATCATTTTTTTTTTTATTTTCAATATTTAAGCCACAAACAGCATTTTAAACTTTTGAAACCTATGGATAAGTTCTATAACGACATTTTTGGCCTTTAAATTAAAATTTTGGAGAAAGGATGAGAGATAGAGCAAATTGATAAGAACTTTTTTTTGTAGAACATAAAATTTTCTATAAAAAAATTTTGATATAATTTTTCTATAGCTTTAATATTTAAGCCATAATTACGAATTGAAATTTGAACGTTTAAAAGTTAAATAAATAAGCTAGATTATTTTCTAAAGTATTATTGTTATTATTATTATTATTAAATTTAATAGTATTAAAAATAGCAATTGTAAATGACAGTCATGTGCAACAGTTTACTCCCAGCAATAATAAGTAATGTAATTTTCTCATCTTGACAAATTACCACATCGTCCAATCAAGGTCGCTCGTGATCGCGACTGAGTCATAAACCCGTTGTTTGGTGTCTATGACCCTGAACAACAATATCAACCATTTTTTGTTTATTTTTTTTTGTGTAAAAATTTCTAATAAAATAGTTTCACTATTTTAAATCCCAACTTTAGTCCCTCTATAAATTAAAACCACTGAGCGTAAAATAGATTAGAGAGATTTAATTGTTAGCCCCAAGGTAACCTCAGAGGACAAGTATGCGACATTGGCCGCCATTTTTACGCGGAAAAATTACAATTCGATGGCCGTATTACTTCCTATTCGTTTGTTTAGATTAAAACAAATTTTATCGAGGAAACTTTAATGAAAAAAAAAAAAAAAAAAAAAAATGAGCCAGCGAAAGAACAAAAAGGTAATAAACTATTGGATTATTTATAGCGTGATAAAATACGTCACTTATAGTTGATATACATTAAGGCGTACATACAATGTACATTACCTAAATGACCCTAATAAACGCGACCGCTTTATTTTTTCTGGCCCCTGCGTTTGATATCCTGATTCTCCCTTTTGTATTATATTTTTATTATTATATTCATATTTACAAAGTTATTTATTAATAAATTATTAGGCTGCTGGTATTACCGAGTGAATCTGTTATTGTCGTTAGGATAGTTAATAAATTTGTTGCTCTAAATCAATAAACGGGTATAATGTCTTCTATTGTATTATGAGTTGGTTAAATATTTAATGACGTCTCTGGTTAAATTATTTATAACATGCCTTTCTTTGTCTTGATGTTTTTTTTTTGTATATTGTAAATTGATTGTTATTTAAGTGGAATTTAATCTGTACATAATTCGGAATTTCAATGGTAATTTTACAGGAAATAGGGTAGGCAGAATATTTAAACAAAATTATCTACACTGTTAAAAATTTCTATTGTAATTTTACAAGAAATGTATTGGAAGCTAATAGGCAAAACATTTATTTAAAATTACAATCGGGTATAGTAAAATTACAAAACATATATAGCTCAGTGAGGTTACTAATTTTACAAAACGGTTTTGTAATTTTACAAATATTTTTAGATTAGCTAAGTTTGTAAAATTACAATACTTTCCTTGAATTTTACTTGAATTGAAATAATAAAAAAGAAAGATTTGATTAAATATTTGTTGTCATTTTATTGTTATGAAGCCCTGACTAGATTTGTATCTCACGTAGACCTAAATTGTACAACTCAGATGATTTAAGTTAAAGTGAAAATAATATATACCCTAACTAAGAATCGAACGCGAGCCGCGCGCTTGCCAGACCGATACCTAACGCCCTACGCCGTACGACCGATAGGTGGTTTAACATCGTATTATTCTTATAAGCTAATCCTATGTGGTGATTAAGCATTACGGCTTATTATTTATTATTTACATTATTTGTGTTATTTTATGCTGTTTATTGATGAAAAAGTTTAACATATACTCATTCAAATATATTGATTTCGAAATGATCGTTTGAGCATAAAATTAAAATTTATAAAAGAGAAATTATGCCTCGAATTTATTATTGCAAATAAACAACCATAGATTAAAAATTAGTAAAAAAATATATGAAGGACATTGTTGTTTTTTTATACATCAGTCTCATTTTTGTAAAACTGAAAAGTATTATTTTTAAAATTGGAAAACAGTGAAGTAGAATTACAATTCGTGTAATATAAATAAAATTTTCTGGTAACATTACATTGTACTGTGTAATTTTACAATGAAAATTGTAAAATTAAAAAAAAGCTTTTTAAATTTTTTATGAGATTATTGTAATATAAATTACAATATTTTTTTGTGATTTTACATACAATTATGCTGAATCAGATCACAAATAATGTTTGCAAAATTAAAAAGCTTTTGCTTAAAAATTGACGAACAGTTCTATAATATTACAATGCGTGTAAGGTTTATACAAGAAGATTGTAAAATTACAATACATCTTAGTAGATTTCCTGACAGGTGTTGGAAAATTACTTGAATTGTATTTTATTTCGCATTGCTATACACTGATTTGTAATTTTACATATCATTTGTTTTGTAATATGATTGTAATTTTACAAAAATTTTTAACAGTGTATTGTACACTACAAGAATATCCCGCATGGAAAAATATATATGCGAAAAATATATGCAAATATATATTTTCACATATATTTTTTTTGCGCTAAATATATGTCCACATATATGTTCACATATATGTGCGCATATAAATGTCTAGAGATTCACAGAAAAAAATTTAACTTGAATCAAGAAAATAATTTTGAAAAATTTAACTTTCTTGATTTGAGTAAAAAAATTCTTAAACTTAGAAATTTTTTTTTCAGTGTATGCTTACATATTGCCCCATGAGGGCCGCATAGGATTTTGCGTGACATTCCCATGTGCGGTCCCTATTAGCAAAACCCAACGCGGGCCCAATAGGTCTTACATTAA